TGCATATTCCAACAACAGCCAAGGGAGCTAGCTCTCTTGGCCTCCCTAGCTCTCTTGGCTAAGCCATGGGACGGACGTCAGTGTCTGACAATTCTTCATTGTAGTCTTTGATTTTTTATTTTGGCACCTATGATTAGGGGATGGCCCACGCCTGGTAAAAAAAAAGTAAGTAATTAAAGAGAAAATTAAAAATAAGAGGTACTGTGTTCCGGCTCTCCGCCCTCTCCGCGAACATAAGAGAACTAGAGAAGAACAAACAAACACAAGAAGCAAGAATGACACGAAAAGCAGAAATTATGAGAACATGGTATAAATGAGCACGGCCATCAACCTCAACAGGGGATAGCCGCCTCGGCAACAACAAGAGCAGCTGAGTCCGCGGCAAAGACCGGTGCATAGAGCCGCCTAGCACCCCTCAGGCACATCACACTGGATCGGACCAAGGCAAAGCTGATTTGACACCGGATCGAAGCCATCACGGCACTGTAGGCCTCTCCCGTCTTGTCGGCGATGAGGGACGCTATCCTCTTGTACAGAGAGGTGGCAGATTTCCCCATGCCTCCCGTAGTGGAGAACACGGCGGGAACAAAGCTGGAGTGTTCCACTTCTCGGATTCTCTGCTCATAGGCACGGCGCTTGGCTTTTTCGTGACGGGTGTAGCTAGCAGCAAGTGAGTTGAGGCGATTCAAGGACGCAAAAGGGTTAAACACCCGGACATCAATGTAGGTGCGCTCGAACCGCCCTCCCCAAATACCACTAGCCACCACGTCAAGGCGGGCTTGGTCGTCGCCCACAGCAGTACGGTACCGGAGCTGCTCTCCAGTGAGTGGCTGCAAATGTGGCTCAATAGCCACCTGGTGGCCAACACGCTTCGCAAGGCGAGCTGTCACGTCGCGTACCTCGTTGTGGCGGAGGGTTGGGAAACCGCCTAACGGGCAAGAGAGGGCATGGCTGACGGTGAACTGCTGTCCACAGGAACATGATGTTGGCAGTCGTACTGGGTGCCAGCCATACCGGAGGTGCACAGCATCGCGGAACTCAGCCTTCGTGAGGGTGAAGCCGTGGGCCTTTAGGGGCCGGCAGGTGAGCCAGCTGGATGCCCCCCGCTCCGAAGCAAGGTCGATGGTACGTTGAACCTCTGGAGGTGCGGCAGAATGCAGAGCGACGGCCTCGGCTTGGAGTGATGTGTTTGCCTTCGCCCTCAACAGCTGCTTGTTCTTCCGCACTTCCTGCAGGGCATCGCCAAGCATGGCAGTCTGCTGCTGAATGCGCCGCACCAGGGGGCCAACGATGGTCTTGGAGTGGGCGTACTGGGCCCCAAGGGAGGCAGGTGTGATGAGCCCCAGACCACCATGTCGACAGGGCAGAGCCAGAAGCTGTCGCTCATCATCGTTGACGGTCCTGCCACCTAAGAGAGCGGGGATGAACTTGTTTCTGATGGAATCCTCCAACGGCTGCATGTACAAATGTAGGTCAGCCATGACTCGAGACAGGAAGGACCATTTGCTTCGCAGGCCGTGAACAAACGCTGCATATGCAGCTTGGGACTGTGACGAAGCAATAGTGCTGAGCGACATCACCTCCTCTACCCAGGATTGAACCGTGCGCTCCATAAAGCAGCGGGAGAATTCTGCTGAGCCAAGCGCGGCTCCCAGATGCCGACATCCATCTGTGCGGATGTCAATTCCAGTTCCAGCAAATATGCTGGCGGCCTCATCCAGAAACCGTGGCTTGACAAGGAGGACAGACTTGGTCGGGTTGAGGAAATAGCCGTACGATGGACCACTCTCGTTGAGGCGATCCCACCAAATTCGTACTGCTTGCAACTTGCCTCCTGCGGCAGAATCATCCGCAATCCAAGACTGCGTGGCACCGTCTGTTGCTGCTTCTTCGATGAGGGGGAGAACACCGAGAGCGTACATCGCCATAGCGACCGGGTCGCCTTGGGTGGTACCTTCGCTGGACTTGATACACTCACCGCTCACGAACAGATTGGCCGGCTCTCTGTATGTGTTGATGACTGTCGGAGCTAAGGACGGGCAGGTGTGTTGGATGTTCCGCATGCATACTTCTCTGTTCAGACAATTGAACGCATTAGTTGCATCAGCCAGTAGGATTGCTTCCGTGTCATCCAGCTGATGGAGGTCATTCATGGCGTGAATGGCTGCTTCCACACCTCCGTCTTGGCCAGCACATAGTTGGAGACTTCCGGCTGCACGTTGAATTTCGTCATTCGTGATGGAGAGGATGGCTTTCCCCATGATCCGGCGAAGGACCTCACCTATGCCGATGGGCCACACGCCTGGCTTCTTATCAAGGGGAATCAGGCGACAGGCGACGTAGGCCTCCAGGCTTGATGGATGGACATAGGTCGTTGCTAGCCGTCGTGCACATGCTGCAATTGCGTCGCACAGCTGATCGGAGATGTCGGCGAAACCTGAACACATGCGTCGCCAGTTGTCGGCGGCGACTCCCGAGGGACCTGCAGCACCATGGGTATTGAGCGCTGCCCGTAGCACCACTTGTCGTGTTAGTGCCTCGAATTGGATGGGGGGGGGAGACTTTGATTTGTAGGGAATAAATCGCCTCCACGCCAGTAGGTGACAGACGAACAGAGCACCTCAAATTATTTTCAAATAATTACAATAATTATCTACTATTTCGTCGTCTTCACTTGATCGCTATCAGTATCGCTTTTCCCCACGGTCTTGTCAGCTACCAACAAGCAGCAGAGTTCATGAGCCTTCGTCTTGGGAGACAAACCAAAGAAAGTGTGTGACAATCCGCATTCGCCTCAGTCAAACCAATAAGTGGATCAAAACCTGGACAGGCGACGAACAAACGACTATATCAGAACTACCGGTACTTCGCGTTCGGTGTTCCGTTCACAGTGAACTGGCTCATGCTGCATGCAGCGCTGCTGATCACCCGAAAAGTGTGGTCTATACAGGATATTGCACAGTGTTCGCGGGGATTATTTTTCATAATCCCCTTGGGGATTTAAAAAATCATCCTCTCGGAACCGTGCAATATCCTATACTTATACTGCTGCCAGTGCTAGTACCGGTACTGCTGCTGGACACGCCAAAGAGAGCCAAATCGCGCTTTACTCTAGCCTCACGTTCTCCGTTGCGCCGAAGCAACATTCACAAACATTACCATCGTCCCAGTTTCTGTCTTGCACCATTACCGAGATGCAATGTTTCAGCGTCACGAGAAAACTGAATGCAGTATGTGTTTTGTTTGTCTATTTAGTGGATAAAGGCGAAGAGCATTCCTCGTTAGAGCTGCAGCATTCCTCCTGCGTCTGCCCGTAGGTACTGAAGAAAACGTTTATTTTGGTGATTTAGACGAATTCAGCAGCACGAGCAACAGATACCGGTAGTTGCGAGCTCCGGCCGTTTACCGCTCTGAGTACCTGAGTGATCGGATCCCCGATAATCATCCCTAACTTTCTCCTCGTGGACTGTCCATTGAGCACTTAGATGGCGTATCGGAGTCGCTATTCCCCATTATGGTGAGCACGTTCCGTAAAAGTAGAACTACGAATCGTATCATCAGTACGAAATGCGAGAAAAAATGGCATTGGTCAAAGTTTTGATCCTTTCACTGAAATTTCAAAGACCTTTTTTCGAAATATCCATGATTACCTGGAAAATGAAGCCAGATGGGAAGAATGCAATGGTTGAGCATACCACACAAACTTCCGGCACTTGTTATTCGCAGTCAATAGTAGCAAAAGCAGATCATTATTATACCATACAGGGGAGTCGGAAGGTATTTTAGTGTGGTACAGCCATCTGAAGTACAGTTTACTCGTGGAAGTGTGGTTACTGAGCCAAAAAATGTGGAAATTGAAATCCTAGATCAGTGTACTGTAAAGCAGGACATTTTCGGACGGAATTTATTTCCGTACGATTTCGTACACGGCCTCTTTTGTGCTAAAATTAATTCCGTACTGAAAATTGTTCATGTGAAACTATGTACACTGTACATGCGTACTGGTTGCGAAAACTTGCATTTAGCATGCAGCACTGTCCGAAAATAAAATCCGTATGAAAGGTGGAATTTTGGCTTTGTCCGAAAATATTTCCGTCCGAAAATTTCCTGCTATACAGTATTTTATTGATTCACGGGATGACTGGGTCCAAAAGTGGTACAGTCAATACCGTAGTAACCATACTGTGTCCGATGCCCCTGCCATAGCGCTTATCAGTGGCCATAGGTAGAGTATAGTTACGTAGTAATCATGTGATCGCTGTGCTGAATAAAGGAGTCAAATGTCTCTGTTTGTTGCATATGTTGAGTTTTCCGTTGTCTGAGCCTTTAGCATGAAACTCAAAGTACGAGTCATAAACTCAAACACAGATTTCCTGCCACCTTCTGAACACAAATATCATGCTGTCAATCATAGTCAGTTACAGTAAATTCTGCGACTTCTGACTGAGCATTGCGAAAGAGGGCAAAAAACGTATTTTTCACCCACAAAAATATTTTCAAGTAGCTGCTCTTGTTCTGCGCAACTCCATAAAACCTGCCTTCGCGGTCTTTGTTTTCCTTGTTGTAGTTGAAGTTTGTCGTGAGTGTGATTGCTCTAGTAAACCATTGCCCCATGTAATGGACCCTTGATCTGTGAGTGAAAAGTGATGTGTTGGAGATTGCAGCACATGCCGGTAATGGTGTTCCAAGGTGTAGTGTGCAGAGAATCTATTATGGAGATCGACCATCCTGCACATAAATATACTTCCCGGTCTCCTTTTGTTTCTCCAGATACCACAGTTTCTTCTCCTTCCTATCTTGACAGTATCCTTGCTGATAGCAGGAGTATGGATACTGCTGATCATGTGGACAAGCATGTATCCACACCTACTAAGGAGTATGCAGCCAAACAGGATAATTGGAGCGCTGCTACTCACACACAAGTGGAAGAATCCCAGGCCGAGAATGGACAGGGGCAATTGCACGTTCAAGCACTGAAGCAACACCAAAATCTGCGCCCAGCCCAAGCCAGCATGCATATGGTGGCTGATGTGTTCGAGTGGACAACCAGCACGTTGGAAATCTTGGAGCGGCTGGAGTACCCAGAGCAGTTTGAGAGGGAGCAGATTCCACTCTCACCGAAAGCAAAATAAATGCTTGATGACTGGACCAAGGGTGGAGAAGCCATTTCTGTCAAAGGGGTAAGCCGCCACTTATGAAATTTTTAGCTCTCTGCTATTCCAAGTTCCAAGCCTTGATTTGTGGGTGGTGGCGTTGTGGCGTTCCTACAAACGCGAAAAAAACTAAGAACTACATGTAGTCCAACTGATCCCAGCACGAACCGTGAATTGTTTTCCTACAAATGTTTCCAACTTTAATAGACAGCATTCAGTTGCATTCCCTGCTTTGTTAGATTTTAATGGTTGCCGCGTGACAGTGCAGGCAAATTGACTGTGCATTTTCTTTCCCTCGTCCTCTCTTTTAAGCTTAGAAAGTGGCAGCCTTAGGCCATGTAGCAATCGTCCCCAATTTAGCCTCCAGTCCATCGCCACAGCAGTATTTTATGATAGATGGACCCAGCTATATACGGTAGTGTGCGAGCATGAGCCACCTTCTTGTAGTAGCCATCTGAGCTATTTTCTTGTACTACTAAGGTTAGTAACTTGCACGCTAGATATTCCATGCGAATCAATGAGAGCTTTCGAGAAACGGCTACAGACAATGACGTACTTTCCGTACTAGTGAGACCATCCCTGATCACTGATCCTTACCAAGGCTAAATTTGGGTCAGACTGTAGGTATGGATGTAGAACTGTACAATAAGTGCTGTCTTACTCCAAGTATGAAAGTCTCAGTAAAAACATTTACTTCATTCTCCTTTTCCCTTTTCTCACTTTGTATTTCAGACTGTCGACCATGCCAACACTTGTCTTCTTCTGATGCGGCTGCAAATCAGAGGCTGTAATCCAGCTATCCGTGACCAGGTGAAAACCGAGCTGAAAGAGAGCCTTGCTAACTGGCAGGAAACTGGCCTGGAGCTGAAGAGCAACGTGTCCAAAGACCTACTCAAGCAGCTGTTTCTCGTTCTGGACGGCAATAAGCCCGAAGAGATTGTGCCAGCCTACTTCCAACCATTAGTATTTGATGATACAGTCGGCGCTGCTTCGCTATCCAAGACAGTATCAACTGTCTTCGGAGCATACCAGAGGGGAGCGCACAGAACAGACCAGCTAGAGAGATCATTCCGTGAAGATCCTAACAAGAAGGCCAGAAAGCCAAACCTCAGGAAGGATACGCAAAACTACGACTTCAAATGACCAGTTTCCATCCTACTTTCAGTAGTCCTACGAGGAAAACATGAACTCCTTGAAGAACACTGACCAATGTGCTGTGTAGCAAATAGGTAGGGACTAGGCTCTGTGCCACTGTCGCTTAGTTCATGTCATGTCACAACGGCAAGTAGTGCCATTAGGTAGGGAATATGCTATGTGCCACAGCTTTGTGTTTTTGACTTCGGTTCACTAACCTTTTTTGTTTGGCATTGAACAGTTTTTGGTTTGCATAGCATTGTTTTTGGGTTGCATTTGATACAAACACCGTCTGCATCTTTGAAAACCCTCTTTGTTGGAAGATTCTCCATTTGTTAGTGTTTGTCTTCGTTTAACATGTATATTACTCAGTATGTCGTAATTGGACACCGCTCGCTTATCCTTACCTTGTGCGTTTTCACTATTTGTAACGTGGCTCCTCTTCTTCAGTTTTCGTTCTATCTCTCTGGCAGGGGCAGCCACCACCCGTCTGGTGGGTGCCAGCATCCTCTGGCAGTTGCGCTGGGACTCTACGATACATTCTATTGCAACCTCTTTTACGGGCCAATAAAAAATAAAAAATCCAATCTGAAGAGCAATGTCAATAAAGCCGCTCATAACGCTAAAAATCAAATCAATTCAGGAAAATTCAATTCAATTCAAAGTCGTGACACATCCGGTAAAAAACAGCAAGAAATAATATCTCGGTGCAAAAGAAGAAGCGCTCAATTGATCAAGCACCTCCCTTGGGTATGTCTGACCATATACAGATTGTTTGCACTTTATGTTACGCCCCTATTTCGAACTACTTCCCCAACTCTTCCACTGGTCCTCCCTCTTCACTGTATCGCTTCAAACAAGTACCTTCGCACCTTTGGCAATTAATCAACGCTGATTTAGCTGGCTACCACTGGTCCACTCTGAACTCGTACACTGATGTTAATGACACACTTCCTCACTTTGATTGTGAGCTCCAGTCCGCCTTCCGTCGTCACCTCACCTCAGTCGGAGCCACCCACACTGTGACATCTCCACGACCCCGCATGCAATCTCCACCATGGGTTACTGCTGAGCTCAGGTCTGCTGTAAAACGCAAGCGTGATCTATATAGTGTGTACAAAAAATATCCGACAGCAGTAAATCATGCAGCTTATAACCGACAAAGGAATGCTGTAAAGCACCTGTCTCGGCAAGCACATCGTCAATATATACGCTCCATCCAAGCATCACTAACGTCACCGAATCGACCTACACTCTTTCAGTTGTGCGAGCACAGCGGCACACTTCCGGCCGTGTCATGCCCCAAACGATGATAGCATCCGACGGTACGGTCGCCACGTCCCCCAAGAGCATAGCTGATGTTCTGAACACTCAGTTCACCTCATTTGGGCTACCTGATGATCCTACGTGGCGCATTCCCCCTTTGTCCCAGTCGCCTTTCATATCTGTTCCGTTCCGTACAATCACTGTCACTACGTTTCAAGTTCGGAAATATCTGAAGCGCCTGAAATGTGGAAAGTCTCCCGGCTCAGATGGGATCCGGAATGAAGTGCTGCAGTCTCTTGCACCATCAATAGCCTATCCTCTCGCCATTATTTTTAATATGTCATTTCGAACTGGTACATTCCCACAGGATTGGAAATCCGCCATCGTGACACCGCTTTACAAGAATAAAGGCTCCCGTGCTTGCCCGGCAAACTACCGCCCCATCTCTCTGCTGCGCACAGTTTCCAAACTTTGTGAGCGTATTGTATTCGATTCCCTCTACCTGCACATCGCTCCGGCTCTCTCACCAGCTCAGTCGGGATTCTGCCGTGGTGACTCAACTCAATACCAGGTGACTCGACTTGTCCAAGACATAGCGACAAAGAGGAACTGTGGGGAGCATGTGGGAATGGTGTTTTTCGACTTGGCTAAGGCATTCGACACCGTTTGGCATCGTGGCTTACTTGCCAAGTTGGAGGTCACCTTCCGGGTGGAGGATGCTGCCTTGCGTTGGATATCCTCGTATCTGTCTGCTCGTTCTCAGGCTGTTCGCTTGTCTTATTTCTTGTCTGATCCCCTCCCTGTAACGTCTGGAGTGCCCCAAGGTTCCATTCTGGGTCCTTTGTTATTCTTGCTTTACGTTAATGACCTACCTTCAGTTGTCCCCGATGTTAGTTTGTATGCGGATGACACTGGCCTTATCTGTTCTGATTCCTCCCCTGCACAATTACTCCTTACCATGCAGCATCGCATCAACAGCACTGTCATGTGGATGCAAACGTGGAAACTCCAGCCCAATTTAGACAAGACAGAAGCCATGTATATTTCTTCATCCCCTCCTGATCAACCATTATACTTCCCTGACTCGAATATGCCTATCCGTGTTGTTACTCAGCACAAACATCTAGGTGTGATGTTTGACTGACAACTCTCTTGGGCTGCACATGTCAACTGTGTATGCAAGCGAACCAGTTCAGCATTAGGGGTACTACAACCACATTGCACTCATTTGCCCATCCAGTGTAAACTATTATTTTATCAGTGCTATATTCTCCCTATATTCGACTATTGCGATACCGCTTGGTGTGGCCTTTCTGACACAACTCTGAACCAATTAAAAGTCCACCATAGATTTATACTTAAAATTCTTTACAACAAGGATCGATGTTTTCCTTCGGATGCCCTTTATCGACTTGCACACACTTCTCCTCTCTCCGTTCGTCATAAGCACCATCTCTGTACACTGATTCATAAAATATTTCTTCATAAAACCCCTTCACACATGATGAAGTACAATTGGTTTTCGACAAGCTCAACCCGTAACGCGCTCATCCTGCCTCTTGTTAAGTCAGCCCAGTATCTTAAGTCCCCTTTGTTTTCCGGCTACTCTCATTGGTTATCATTACCATACGGTCTGAAAACTTGTTCTTCTATTGGTCAGTTTAAAGATCTACTATCACAACTGAACTAGACGCAATAATTATCATCGAAGAACATTCTCGAATACCTGGGTGATGCACGAATTTTGATAGTGCTCACTTCCGTTAATCGTTTTTCTTTGTAATTTTCCATTCATTTTCTGCTGTAATTCATATTTGCTTTGTTTTCCTAGCTTACTATTGCAGTGGCTGGCTCAACGCCCTTGTCTCAGGGAATTCTGTCCCTGCATTAGCTATGCTTGTCACATGCTATGAGATTGTGTCTAATAATAATAATAAGAAAAAAGGAAATAAAAAGCCGCTTCATTTTAAAGGACCAAAATGAAGAAAAGCAAAGAAATACCCACATCAGCGCTAAATTGCACCTTAAATTATAAACAAAAACATGACGCGTCCATTAGCATTGAGGACACTGCCATTAGCGAGGTTATACACACCACTGTTACATCCGTTCCTCAGCCATGGCTAGTGGGCGCAATGCATTTACTGGTCGATGGTATTAGTGACTACACCCAATTTCCAAAACTTGCTCCGATCGCTTCGATTTTGGTCTCATTCGATTCTCCCAGGCGTAGTACATAGGAAATCTGTAAGTATTATTCGAATCGGCCCAGCCATTCTTGAGTTATAGTGATTTGAAGTGCGCCAAGTTGGACTTTTGCTGGAAACAGAAATGAATGGGAGCGATGGGAGAATCGAGAACGACCGCACAGTCCGTGCATGCAGTACAGTGTACAGTGAACATGCCTCGTCACTCAAACTGCGCGTACGAAATTGCATACTTAGGTATGCTGGCGCAGAACAAATTCGCTGGTAGAGGAAGACGAAAGCGTCCCAGGCCTTGTAATTTCACATGGCCAGTAGCTTTTCGACGCTGAAGACGATGGAATAATCCGCGACGCTGCGACCCGACCAGAACAACCCGAAATTCATACCCTGAAAAAGCGCTGAGCGCAGAGCTCCTAAATTTTGTCGTATGGAAACGGGACTTCGGGTCTCAAGGGCACGAACATCTCCTCTCTCAGATAAAGCAATTCACTCGATGCGATATTCTACAATTTGACCTGGCCACGCCGAAATGCACTGCCATGTCGGATTCTCCCATCGGAAGTATAGAAACTTGTTTCCAAAAAATCAGCGTCTGGGTGCGAGGGAGTGAAGTCACTAATGGTATGCAGAGCGAGCCCCTCTGATGCACATAACTGCAGCTCGGAGGAGTGCAAACGACAGACGGCATCTGACATAGGCCATAACCTCGCCGTAGGGCTTGCCATCATGCTGTGCCAGCATAGCGCATAATCGCTTCAAAAACCGCAACCATTCTGGGGATGCACTGCCAGCCGTGGTGAAGACAAGCGGGGTAAAGTTACCACGGTCAACATTGACAATCCTTTCGCTGCACTGCAGCTTCTTCTGCCTCTCGTGCTGGAGAAGGAGGTCAGCGATGGGCTTCTTTGCGTACGGGGCGGCGTCAGGATGAAAGACTCGAATGTCAAGGAAAGTGTTCTGTGCCCTTGTCCAAAACCCACGTATGCGGACGTCAGATCGGGCATCATGTGCCGTGTTGGTGCTGGCAGCTCTGAAGACTTCGCCCTCCAGCGGCGCGAGCAATGGCTCCACAGAAACGTCAGGGCACACCTCCGTGACTAAGTCCGCTATCATGTCTCGTACCTCGTTATGTCTAACGGTAGGGAAGCCCCCGGTTGGGCAGCACATCGCATGAGCCGCGGTGAAATCCCGGCCACACACGCATTTCCCCGGGACATCCCTCAGAGGCCATCCGTACCTCAGCGCAATGGCATCGCGGAAGTCGCACTTGGACAGACTGAAGCCGTGCTCACGCAGCGGAAGGGTGTGGAGCCAGCTCGATACACCCTTGGCCGAAAGGTGTTCCAACTGGCGGGCGGCAAGCGGAGTAAGTGTTTCCTTGGCGCTCATATACCGCTGTTCGTCATGTTTTAGCCGTTCCGCCAGAGCTGCTGACTTGGCTCGCTGGGCTGAATGAATTGCATGCTCTATCGATATCGAGGGCCTGGACCGGTCATTCTGGTCGAGTATCTCCAGAGTTTGATCTAATGTGATTTTCCTCGACGTCTCCAGAGCCCCATTAGCCATTTGAGACAGGGATGGCACGGCAAAGCCACCCAGGCGTGTGGGAAGCTGAAGAACAGCCCATTCGTTGTCCGAAAATGCCTCCCTGCCAGTTACCGCAGGTATCAATACCGTGCGCGTCATGTCATCCATCTGAGAGAGGCAATCGGCTGGAAAAGGTACTGTTCTGAGGAGGTAGGTCCACCGGCCGCGAAGACCATGTGTCAGGGCAGCATAGGCTGCATGCGGTTCCGTGCGCGCAACATCCGATAGTGCCTTTAGTTCCGCAATCCGCTCGCCTACTCGCCGCCGCACATGCTCGGCAACAGCATCAGACTCGCCAATGTAGGAGCCTAGGTATTTCGTGGCGCCGGTCACGATACGTATGCCAGTACCAGCAAACATATTGTAGGCTTCCTCCTCCTGCTCGGGCTTCGCGAGAAGAAGCGTTTTCTCCGGGTTGGTGTTGTATCCGTACAGCTTGCCTTGTTCCTCAACGCTGTCCCACCATCCACGGAGACGA